TTGAGCTCGAGCTTAGCTCGATAACTAACTGGGTTCGAGTTAGGCTCAACTCGTTAATATTAATAAAAGTCGAACTCGGCCCTATTTGGCTCGATAAGATTTTTTTATTATTTATACTATTTAATACATAAATAATGTAATTATGCTATTATTTGTGTATATTTATATATTATTTATATTAATATATAAATAATATATTTATCATATAATTTAAATAAATATAAATAAGTCGAATCAAGTTCTTAACGAGCCGAGCCAACTTGTGAACAACTTGATTTATTTGCAACCTTAACCGTACATGGTCTAAACCATAGGGGGTAAAGTGCAGTTTGCCCTAAAAATTAAACTATTCGAGTTTGGTTAAATAAATAACAGTAATACTACAAACCCAGAATAATATACCTAGAATTTACCCAGAAATATCAACATATGGTTCAAATTCATTCTACACACATAGATTCTACAATACATAGTTTCAATCTCTACCATACAACCCATTCTGATTCAAAATCCGGGACCCTAAATTTGGGTCTCTAGACTTATTCAAAAAATAAGCAAGTCAAATTCAAACATATTTTGAAACTCCATTATGTTTGGTTTTGATTTTTCAAAAACAATTTTTAAATTTTTGAGTTTTTTTTTATTAGTCAAATTATACTATTAGTCCTTATACTGACCCTTGTATCATTTTAGTATTCAGTAAATTCAGTTGGATTAATTTTGACCATGAATTTTTTTATTTTGTCTCAATTTAATTCAATTGGTTCCAATTGTTAATATTTTTTAATGGCAAATGCGTACATGAACAATATGTGTTATATTTTTAGAAAGTAAAATTGTAAACTTGATCAATTTAGTTACTTAACCTCGTCTCCCTTGGCCCCTCCCTTATTACTAGCAAGTTAGTTTGGAACAAATTTGCACCTCCAAAGGTCCAATTTTTCTGCGGGTTAGCATGGAAAAGCAGAGTTAAGACAGTAGTCTTTCTTTAGAAAATTGGAGTGCTTCAAGCTAATTCACCAGCCCTTTGTGTCTTTTGTAAAGCTGTGAGTGAGTCTAACTGCCATGTGCTGTTGCACTGTCAATTTACTTGGAGGGTTTGGGCTGCAATGTTAAATTGGTGGGAGGTGCAAGGGGCTCTACCAGGATCTGTGGAAGCTGTTCTTCATTGGTGGGAAGGTGTTAAGCTTAGCAAGAAAGAAAAATTGCTTTGGAAAGTCATTCCCTCAGCTGTCTTTTGGTTTCTGTGGAAACTGCGAAATGAGTGTATTTTTCAAGCTGCTAAACCTTAGTTGGAGAACCTGTGTGATTTGATTAAAATCAAAGTTGCATTGTGGTTGAACCAGAGATTTAAGGGCTTTCACTTCACTGTCCAAGACTTCCTGACCAATTTAAGGCAAATCAGATACTGTTTGGGGAGTAAATATGTCTTGTGTGGCTAATTTAGATCTCTGTGTGCTATTGGTTTTTCTTGGAGTTCATCTGTTGGTGTCTGTGTTGTTGGTGTCATTGTGCTACTGGTTTTCTTGGAGTTCATTTGCTGATGTCTTTGTGTTGTTGGTGTCTTTGTGCTGTTAGGTTGGTGTCTTACCAACTTCTGCTGTTAGGTTGGTTTTTTTTTTTTTTGTGCTCGTTGCTCCTTTCTTTTTATTGATGATTGTCAATGTATTACTGCTTGATCATTATCAATAAATTTCCTTTTGGCTGTTTCAAAAGAAAATAAATAAATAACAAGTGCGAAACACATGGCAGACAATGGTTTACCCTTATAACGTTTGGAGATGACTACATAATCCCTTGTGGTTTGTGAACTGAAGTACACCGTTAACATTCTGTCCAACTTAACAACAAGTGTGGAACATATGGCAGACAAAAGGGATCATATGCTTATTTTCAAATTTTAAGGGGTCACATTGAATAAAACACAAAGGAGTACCCTTTACCTTTCAAACAAATGACGAAAATGTAAAGGTATTTTAGTCTTTTTTATTAAATTGTCAACGGGTCTAACGGTGCACTTTAGTTCACAAACCATAAGGGGGTTATGTGGTGATTTTCAAATGTTAGGGAAGCAAACAGCACACCGGACTGCAAAGAAGTCGAGCCGAGTTGAGCTTTGCTGAGCTCGATCTTTGTTCGTTTGCTTATCGAGCTTATTTATTGAGCTCGAGCTTAGCTCGATAACTAACTGGGTTCGAGTTAGGCTCAGCTCGTTAATATTAATAAAAGTCGAACTCGGCCCTATTTGGCTCGATAAGATTTTTTTATTATTTATACTATTTAATACATAAATAATGTAATATATAAATAATATATTTATCATATAATTTAAATAAATATAAATAAGTCGAATCAAGTTCTTAACGAGCCGAGCCAACTTGTGAACAACTTGATTTATTTGCAACCTTAACCGTACATGGTCTAAACCATAGGGGGTAAAGTGCAGTTTGCCCTAAAAATTAAACTATTCGAGTTTGGTTAAATAAATAACAGTAATACTACAAACCCAGAATAATATACCTAGAATTTACCCAGAAATATCAACATATGGTTCAAATTCATTCTACACACATAGATTCTACAATACATAGTTTCAATCTCTACCATACAACCCATTCTGATTCAAAATCCGGGACCCTAAATTTGGGTCTCTAGACTTATTCAAAAAATAAGCAAGTCAAATTCAAACATATTTTGAAACTCCATTATGTTTGGTTTTGATTTTTCAAAAACAATTTTTAAATTTTTGAGTTTTTTTTTATTAGTCAAATTATACTATTAGTCCTTATACTTTGACCCTTGTATCATTTTAGTATTCAGTAAATTCAGTTGGATTAATTTTGACCATGAATTTTTTTATTTTGTCTCAATTTAATTCAATTGGTTCCAATTGTTAATATTTTTTAATGGCAAATGCGTACATGAACAATATGTGTTATATTTTTAGAAAGTAAAATTGTAAACTTGATCAATTTAGTTACTTAACCTCAATCAATTCAATGAAAATTTTCTGCCAAAAACTCTAACGACGTTATCAATTATATTGAAAAAAATTGATACAAGATCTAAATTAAGGGTCAAAACAAATTAATTGAAACTGCAGGAACTAAAATATCACAAGCGGCATTTTTAGTATTTTTATGTTTTTAGTGAATTTTTGGATAAATTACAAATAGACCACTTGCTTAAAATATGAATCGCCCCCTGTGGCATATTACATTCCGCCCCTTGAAATTTATAATTTTATAACAAATGACCCATTTCATTAATAAATTATCAAGTCGATTAATAATTTTTAATAATGTCATAAACGCAATTCAATTAATAATTCAGGTAACTTTATTATTTTCTGTGAGAGCAATTGGAAATTTCATTTTTTCAATTAATTTCTATTAAATAAAAATTGTGAGAATGGGATATTTGTAATTTTTCAAACCAAATAGGGCAATTTTTATTTTAAACAAACTTCAAAGGGTATATTTGTAATTTATTCTACAAATAGACCACTTGCTTAAAATATGAATCGCCCCCTGTGGCATATTACATTCCGCCCCTTGAAATTTATAATTTTATAACAAATGACCCATTTCATTAATAAATTATCAAGTCGATTAATAATTTTTAATAATGTCATAAACGCAATTCAATTAATAATTCAGGTAACTTTATTATTTTCTGTGAGAGCAATTAGAAATTTTATTTTTTCAATTAATTTCTATTAAATAAAAATTGTGAGAATGGGATATTTGTAATTTTTCAAACCAAATAGGGCAATTTGTATTTTAAACAAACCTCAAAGGGTATATTTGTAATTTATTCAAAAAACATACTTTTTAAATGCAGATAACTTAGATACACCTAAAAAAAACTAATATATTTGTCAAAACAATTTCTAAAAATTTTACTAAATACAAAAAAAAAAAACAAAAAAAAATTCAATACATTTTAAATTTTTTTTATTTTGATTTTTTTTAGAATTCTCTATATATTTTCATTTTTAGATGAATCTAAGTTGGTGTATCAAAAAAAAATATAATTATTAATTGAGTAAAATAAAAAAATAAAAAACTTAAATAAAATCAAAAATTCAAAAAAAATCAAAAATTATATTTGAAAACTTAATACCAAATAAAATAAAATTTCCATGCTCAATCTAAATAATTTACTATTCAACTCAACTCAATTTATTTACCATCCTTTCTACCCCACTAACATTTGACATAGGATCTATTTATCAATCTTAAATATTTAGATAAATTATAAATATATTTTTTGAGATTTATTTAAAATACAGATTGCTCCTTATAATTTAGAAAATTACTAATACCTTTTTGCCATAATTTTTTATTTAACATAATTAACTAGATAATTTAAATTTCTATCTGCTCTCCTATATAATGATAAAATTATCTAAATTATTAATTAAAATAAATTTCTAACATCATTAAACATTGTTGACTTAACTTAATGATTTATTATAATAAAAAATAATCATTTGTTATAAAATTAGAAACTTCAAGGATTGTGATGTGATTTTTAGAATCACATGAGACAAATCATATTTTAAACAAATCTGAAAGAATATATTTATAATTTATCCTATATATTTTGATGTTTTGAGTTCTCTGTCCATTACCATGTGTAATATTTCTAAAATTAAAAATCAATTAATTTACTAGACCATACGACAAAAAAAAAATAATTACAATTCATAAATTTTTAAAAATAATTTGAGATTAGTGATGAATTTTATCAATATTAATAATTAAAATCTGAAATTTTTTTATAAATTTGTAATTAATTTATAAAAATTCTCTTAAAAAATAGTTGGCGAAATTTGGAGACAGTTGTCCCTACACTTTTTTTTTAAATGGTGAGTTGTCCCCACACTTCAATATCGCACATAATACACGTTTTCATTTCATGTCGTCTTCAATACAGAAGACTCGCACCACTATTAGCTAGCCTATTATAGCCCCTCCTCTTAACTACCTCTACCCCCAATTCCTCTCTCTCTCTCTCTCTCTCTCTCTCTCTCTCTCTCTCTATAAAATCAAAAATAAGGACTTGTTTGTTTCATCGTACTTTGTTTTATAGGATCAACCTTGGAAGCCACACCTAGGCATGAGTTGCTCAATAGATTGGCCAGAACCAATTGTCCGTGTCCAATCCTTGTCCGACAGCGGCACCCCCACCATCCCCGACTGCTACGTCAAACCGCCACAGGACCGGCCGGTAGTCAACTCCTCCTCCAACCACCATGACACCGATGTAAACATCCCCTTAATTGACCTCGGAGTTTTAACATCCGGGGACGACAATACTACTCTAAGAGCAACCACCATAGCCCAGATATCCGAAGCGTGTCGTGAGTGGGGCTTCTTCCAGGTGGTCAATCACGGAGTGAGCCCCCACTTGATGGATCGCGCCAGGGATATCTGGCGCGATTTCTTCCATCTTCCAATGGAAGAAAAGCAAGTTTATGCGAATTCACCCAAAACGTACGAAGGGTATGGAAGTCGGTTAGGCGTCCAGAAAGGTGCCATTCTCGACTGGAGCGACTACTACTTCTTGCACTTTCTTCCGTGCTCGCTTAAAGATCATAACAAGTGGCCCGCCTTGCCAGCTCCTCTCAGGTGAATTGCTTTAATTTTTAATTTTTTAATGTAATAATAATATATAAATGTTGGTGACTTGTATACTTTAATGTAACAACCACCATCTATTTGGACTTTACTGATCTAATTTTATGTATTACTATATTACTGGTTGTGTTTAGGGAAGTGATAGATGAGTACGCGGACCACTTAGTAAAGCTAAGTGGGCGATTAATGAAGGTTTTGTCAATAAATCTTGGATTAGGAGAGGAGTATCTTCAAAATGCGTTTGGCGGCAACAACATTGGAGCGTGTTTAAGAGTGAATTTTTACCCAAAGTGTCCACAACCCGATATGACTCTTGGCCTATCCTCTCATTCGGACCCCGGTGGCATGACTATTCTCCTCCCAGATAGCCATGTCGCCGGGCTTCAAGTCCGAAAAAACGACCAGTGGATTACCGTGAAACCAGCTCCACATGCTTTCATTGTTAACATGGGGGATCAAATTCAGGTACTCTCTCTCTCTCTCTCTCTCTCTCTCTCTCTCTCTCTCTCTCTCTCTCTCTCTCTCTCTTTTTGTTTTTGTTTTTGTTTTTGTTTTTGTTTTTGTTTTTGTTTTTGTTTTTGTTTTTGTTTTTGTTTTTGTTTTTGTGTTTTTTTAGATGTTTAGGTTATCCATTTGGAATGGGAATGCTTGGCCAGGATTCATAAACCATTGGGCACATGGAGGGGTCATGGTTTTGATGGCTTTGTAACCAGTCATTCAAATTTGGTCAAAAAGTTTTGTTTTTTATTTTTATTTTTTTATTTTTCCTTCTTTTGTGTGGTTTTTAACCATGTGCATTAGAGGATTCTAAGTGATTTGTCAAACTTGTGTTGAGTTGATAGGAAAGTTACATGAACCAAGCGCAAAAACAAAAGATGGTGAATGTGTAATAATGTTATGTAAAATCCCCCTTGGCATTTGTCCTATAGAAGTCCATAGTTTCAATTTTCAGAATTCATTTTTCAAAAAATTTTATTTTTTCATTTTTCATATATATTTTTTTTCCACTGAATTTTTTTAAATATTTTAAATAATTTTTAAAATTTTTAGATTAACCTAACATAAATACACTTAAAAAGTATAATATTTATAAAAAAAATAAAAAAAATTCACTAAATACCAACAAAAAAAAAAAGCCAAAATTTTGTACATTTTTCTTATTTTTGTGTATTTATTAATTTTTTAAAATACGTTTTCACAAATATTTTACTATTTAAATACATCTAAGTAAGGTGCATCTAAAAAAATAAAAGAATTGCTTAAAATTTTAAAAATATTCACCAAAAAAAACGAAAAACAAAAAATTTAATTTTCAAAAAACTGAATGCAAAAAATTGAAACCAAACACACTTGAAAAGAAAATTTTATAGAATAAATGAAGTTTTTTAATCTTTTTTTTTTTTGTTACTACACACAAAATAATAAATCTCATGCATATTTATTAATGTTATTTATTTTTTTCACAATTTGTTTTCCAAATGGGCTATGACTTTTATATGGAAATTTTTAATTTTTAAATGATAAACTGATTGGTTAAAATTTTCACTCCTCACTCATTTTGAGGTCACCTCGAATTTAGACTTGATATTCAACTGTTTTATGTGAGGAAAGAAGATATGTATGATGTATGATGTATGATGTATGATGTATGATGTATGATGTACTTATAAGAGACATGATGTATGATGTACTTAAGAATTAGGTGGGACAAAGTGATCCCCAAAAACAAAAAACAAAGGGGATATGGCCTGTTTTGGAAAATTATTATTTTAGTTAAAAAGTCAATTATTTTTTTTATTTTTTATATGTTTTTTTGTAAAAAAATAAAAAATTAATTAAAATAGTCATTTTCCAAAACAATCATATGTTTTCCACCATTTTGTATTACCTCCTAAGTGAATACTCATGATTGATTTTTTTTTTTTAGAAACAATAACAAAAAAAAAATAATGAAGATAAATAATACATTATCATGTATCCAATAATGGAAAAAAGAGAGGTGATAGTCGTCCTAAAATAATAATAATACAATAACTTGTCAGTATGCTCTTTAGAAATTGTTTGGAAATATAAGTGATTGTGACCATTTCAATCAATTTTCATCTAACCATAAAAGTGGCTAACATAGAATAAAGATTTATGGGAAAATATCAAATTAGTGGGATAGTAAAAAATTATTAGTATTTGTATAATCGAGTAAATTTACTATGTGTATGGTGTAAATTCTCTATGTGAATGGTGTAAGTCCTTATTGTGTGTCAGAATTACACCGTAAAAAATTTCATCTCTAATGCAATAATTTCTTTAATGTTCCACTAATTTGATATTTCTCCAAGACTTATTCAACAGTATCTAGATGAAGTCTTTAACATAAATAATTTGGGCTCTTACCCCTTTTTTTTAAAATTTAAATATTATAAAATCATAAGCAAACTAGATAAGCATGTTTAAACGGGTACATACTATAAGGTCTTGGCAAAACTTTATAATGTTTTTTAAGAAAAATATTATACAGAAACGGATTTTTATTTACTTATTTTTAACATCATTAAATACAAAGATATGAGTCCTATGTATATATTTATTAATGTAAATATCTATCTATACTACTATATAAAGAGAAAATTGGAGTTGGTGTTGATGTCACAAAAATTCTTTTATGAAAATTCTCAAAAATTGATAGCTACTATAAATTGCTTCAATTCTCTCTAAGAATAAAGCTTTGGACCCCTAGTGGGGGTACTGGGGTCCCTTCCCATTGGTCAAAGAAAACAATTTTTTTTTTTTGTTTTTTTTCGAGTTCAAGCCATCCCAGGCCGACACGTGACACTGAGGGGTCACGGGGTCAGCCCAAGTGGGGATATGTAGCATTACTGTTTCCTTTTAACATTGATGCCTGCCAAACGAGGGCAGATGACTCACGTGTAGTGTCGTGGAGGTTCCAGGGTTGTAGTGTACATTCCGAGAAGGATGTATTATACCAAGCAAAGGGTAGACTTGGTGTTGATGCTTTCTTTTGTTACGATTTTTTCTTTTTCAAAAATGTCCATAACAATTTGGTAACTATATCAATAGAAAGAACTGTCATAAGAAAACTGATTTATATTTTCAAAATTTCAAAATTTTAGAAACGATTTCTATTCTTCATCTTCTTCATTGCTAAATTAACATTTATTAATGTAAATTTTATTACCTTTATATCTATATATCTAATGGTAAGAAGATTAAAAAAATAAAAAAATAATCATTTATTTGTAACATTATTTTATTATTATCATTTTTAATTAGTTGAGTTGTGCTTATCTTTCTATTCAAGTGAATTCTATTATATCAAAATTCCATTATTAATTTGAATTGTATGTCCCATATGTTACTGCGGTCTTCTCCTTCTAACACGTGGACAATATGCTGGAAGAGAAAAACTTTGAATATGTGGCATTTTCTGCAAAGTTTTTTTTTTTTTTTTTTTTTTTGTTTGGTAGAGTTTCAGAATTATTATTTTTTAAGTGAAAAAATATTTATGTTCTAAGAAAGAGAATTTTATACGTAATTAATGAGTGTTTTGTTTTATTTTTACCTTTTTCACTAAAATAATTTTTTTAAATTTAAAAAAAAAAAAAATTTAAAAACTCAACTAAATGATTTTTTTTTTTCTTTTTTTTAAATTGCCTGTTCAATCACACTATTCTACATTAACACGCAAAGCACACGTATAACATTATGGCTTTATCCTCTATAGAAAATTATTGAATGAGTCATTCTCAGCAATAATGTAATTAATATTTGCATTTGGCATGACAGTCCCTAACAAAATTGTTAATTCTTTTATTTATTTTATTTTATTTTATTTTATTTTATTATTTTTTGGTCTTTTGACCTATAAATATTCATTCAAAAAATAATGTCATTAAGTTACCTTTAATCCAAATTCAAAGCATAGGTATGTTGGATGCAAATAGTTCATATGAGAACGTTTCTTGTAATGTCTGTTTATATTTAATTTAAAAAATGACTTCATTAAAATTAAAAAATTTACTAAGACATAGATATTTTTAACTTCTAGGTTTAATTTGCCAATTTTTAATTAGTAGAAACTACACCAACATAATAACATATTCTATGTATCCATCCCCAACCAAATCATAACTTCAACATAACTCTTTCTATAAAATAAATATTAAAATTGCATGCTTCATTGCAAAAAACTACAATATCTATTGTAAAGATAAATTGATAAAGAGAGGGAGAGAGAGCAAAATGAATAACTCTGTATTTCTGTGTATTGTATGTGATGTATATTTACAAGAGAAATCAACTCTCTCTTTATAGAGAGAAGAAATAACATTGGATACCAAGTGATGATTGAAATCACCGAAAGAATAAAGTGAAAAGAGAAAGTTATACAATTAGCAATATTATATTAACAGCCCCCCTCAAACTCAAGGAGGATAGGTACTAGCCAACTTGAGTTTGAAGAGAGTAACAAAACAGGAAAGTAAACTGATAAATAAAACAGGATAGGAGACACGGTATGGTCGTGTCAGACCGTTGTAGCAGACAGTTTACGGGGTCATGTCGGACCGTTGTAGCAGCTGACCGGAATCAATGTCGGGACAGTTTATGGGGTCATGTCGGACCGTTGTAACAGACACTGTGTGGTCGTGTCAGATCGATGTAGAAGACAGTTTATGGGGTCATGTCGGACCGATGTAGAAGACAGTTTACGGGGTCATGTCGGACCGATGTAGAAGCTGACCGGAATCAATGTCGGGACAGTTTACGGGGTCATGTCGGACCGTTGTAGAAGACACTGTGTGGTCGTGTCAGACCGATGTAGAAGATACTGTGGGAGTGTGTAGATAGACTGCCCAAAAGATAGACATAGATGTAGATATCGAGCCCTCAAAAGTCGTGCCCTCAAAAGGTGTGCCCGCACCCTCAAAAGGCGTGTTATCAAAAGGCGTGTCCGAGTCATCAAAAGGCGTGCCATGAAAAGGCGTGCCAGGTTGTCGACGTCAAAAGGCGCGCGATGCGCGTGGCTGCCTCTGTGTCATGGTCTTTATAAACCGAAGCGGAGGAGGCAGAAACTGAGACAGAAAAACTGAGAGAAACCTCTGAAAAATTCTTCAGGTTGCTGAGAGAGAGAGTCTGTAACACTCTGTTGCGAGAGATAGTCTGTAATACTCTATTGCCCAGAAAATGGCCTCGTCGTCCCGGAGTCTGCTCACTCTCTTTCCCGACCTCAACGAGTCCACAGGAGAGAGAACTGGTGCGGTGGCCAGTGAACCTCAACCAAACACCGCTGGGTTTGCTCCGCTGAAATTTCTGATGCGGTCTGTGGAGCAAAAAATGGCGGTGCAGACGGATGTGGAGGCCAATCAGTATACTTTGAAGGCATGTGTGGAGTCCATGACGGCGGTCACAAACTTGTCGCACCGGCTGCAGAGTAGGACAAATGAGGTGCAGCAATTAAACTCCCAGCTGGCTCTGCTCCAACGCATGTATAAGGATGCGCGAGCAGAGATAAGCGTGCTAAGGGCAGAAAACAAGGAGCTGAAGCGGAAGCCCACCGTGATGTTCCGATTTGGAGGACCGCCATATGCTGCAGTGGAGGAGCAGGGAGTAATCATGGTAGTAGGTAGAATGAGACTCTCACTTTTTGGTGTTTGAGACGAAGAGGACACACTAGTGGAATCTGTCATGGATACAATACTACCAAACCCGCAACAAATTAGTGGAAATCACAAACCCGGAAGGTGGTAGTGAGATAACAGGCACAATGATCACTATAAAGACATACAAAATACAAAATTAAGAAACCATTTTTTTTGTTTTTGTTTGTTTTGTTTTTTTTTTTTTTTTTTTTTTTTTTTTTTTTTTTTTTTTTTTTTTTTGTTTTTGTGTAAAATGGATCGGGGTGAGTCCCGACAAGAATAAAATGAATTTGGTGTGCAGTTCGTCCAGTTCGGCTTCTTCGTCTGTTTTTTTTTTTTTTTTTTTTTTTTTTTTTTTTTTTTAAGTAAAATGGAAGATAAAATAAAATAAAAATAAAAGAAAATGGTGTGGTGGGAACGTGGTGTGGTTTGTTGAATTCTACGAAAAAGCAAAAAAGCAAAGAAAGTGGTGTACTCTCTAGCCCACGAAAAAGCAAAGAAAGAAAAATAATTGGGCAAATTACATATACACCCCTCCAGGTTTGGCAAAATTACAGATACCCCCCTGAGGTTTGAGAAATTACGAATTCCCCCCTGAATGCTATATTTGCATAAGAAATTAGGGGGTAATTTGTTATGAAATATAAACCTCAGGGGGTAAATTGTTATGAAAATACAAACCTCAGGGGGCGGGATGTAATTTCCGAAACCTCAGGGGGGTATCTGTAATTTAACCAAACCTGAAGGGGTGTATATGTAATTTGCCCAAAATAATTAGAGAGTGGTATAGTGGAAACTTCTTTTTAGGGTTTCACATGTTGATGAGACTTCCCCCCCACGTTAGGCACACTAATCCTCACCGAATAAATTTCTAGAGAGAGAGAGAGAGAGAAAGATAACCCGTGTATGTGTGTATGCATGTATCTGGGTGTGTGTTGGGTCTCTCTTCCCCCTTTCTCTCACCTTTCTCTCCCTAAGCCGAGAGAGAGAGATAGATGGGTTTGCATGTGTGGTGTCTTTATGTGTGTGTGCTGCCGTGTGGAGTGAGAGGGAAGAAATCAGTGAGAGAGAGAGGGAGATCGAGTCTCGGGAGTACTTTGACTGTGGAGTACTTTTCAGACGACAATGGTCCGTTGATCAAGATCTTGCTGGGGGTTGGTGTGTGTTTGTGAATCAGTGAGCTCCTCCCCCCCTTCCGCTCGGTCTGTGTGTATCTATGTCATGCATGGAGCATGTGTGAGAGGTGTGCTGTGGAAGGAGAGAAAGAGAGAGGTGAAGCTTGTGTGTGTGTGTTCAGCCCCTCTCCATGTGTGCTGGGTTTGTCGAGAGACAGAAGAGAGAAATCAGTGCCTCCCTCTATGTCCCTGTGTGCTGCTGTCTAATGGTCTTCTTCTCAATGGTGTGTTGGGTGGATGTCTCCTCCCTCTCTCTACCCATGTCTGTCATGAAATGGTCCCTCTATCTGTCCGTATCAATCATCTGTATGCATGTGTTGTGTGTTGTCGCAGCTCCGTGTGTGCGTGTGATGGCAGTGGTATGTGTCTGCTGTGTGTTGTGTATGGTATATCTCGGCTGTAGGGGAAGGTGGCCCGGTCGTGGAGTTGGAGCGGTGGTGGCTCGGCAGTGATCAGTCACGGCTGGAAGCAGTGGCGAGGCTTCCGGGGACAGACATGAGGTGCGTAGACCGTGTTTTGAACCATCATTGTTGCAGACGAGTGAAGGTAAGTGTAGAGAATTTTAGCAGACTAGGTTGAGGTCCGGCGGGCGGCCAAGGCGAGGTTGCCGCCCGCCGGAAGGCGAAGAACACCAAGATCTTTAACCTATAGCTCGATACCATGTAAAGATAAATTGATAAAGAGAGGGAGAGAGAGCAAAATGAATAACTCTGTATTTCTGTGTATTGTATGTGATGTATATTTACAAGAGAAATCAACTCTCTCTTTATAGAGAAGAAATAACATTGGATACCAAGTGATGATTGAAATCACCGAAAGAATAAAGTGAAAAGAGAAAGTTATACAATTAGCAATATTATATTAACATCTATAAAAGTGATCAAAATTATTAGAGTTGATAAAGTAGTGTACAAAATTATTTCAGAAAATTACAATATCTATATAAGTGATCAAAATTTATATTTGAAGCATACATTTAAATTTAGTACGGTGTAACTCATACATTTCAAATTTTGAATATTTTTTTTTGTACATCACATTATTTTAATTATAGATGTAGTATTTTGTGTAACAAATACGTTATGATGTATTTATGTGAAACCACCAAAGGTGGAGCTCAAAGGTATGTGAAAGAAAAGGTACACAGACAGTAGTGTACCTGTTACACAATACATGTGTCAGGGTATTTGGAATAATTTTTGCTTATAATTTTTAATTAAAATAATAAATTATTTTTATTTTCTACTTTTTAATATCATCTTTCAGCTTTCTCAAAGTTGAATCAAACAAACTATTCATCTAGTTGATGAATCTGCTTTTATATTAATTTCAATAGCTAGGAACACATAAAGGGGTATTTTGGAAATATGGTTAAATCCTGTTTTTTGATTTTTTTTTTTTTTTTTTTTTTTTTTTTTTTTTTTTTGACTATTTTGTAAGAGAAAGAAGTGGGTTAAAAGCTGATAAATGACTTTTAACCCACTTTCCAAAATAGGCCAAAATTTACACAGAATGAAATATTAGATCTCACACCTATATCTCATTATGTAAAAATTAAAATCCCATACCTTAATTATCTCACATTTGTATCTCGTCATATAAAAATCTTATGTGAATTTTAAACTTCCTCTTCAATGACCAATTTCAGGTGCTAAGCAATGCGATATACAAAAGCGTAGAGCACAGAGTAATGGTTAACTCATCGAGCGAACGAGTATCGCTTGCATTCTTCTACAATCCAAAGAGCGATATACCAATAGAGCCAGCGAAAGAGCTCATCACGGATGATAGACCTGCACTGTACAAAGCCATGACTTTCGATGAGTACAGACTATACATAAGGACCAGAGGTCCACAGGGAAAATCTCAAGTTGAGTCTCTCAAATCCCCAAGATGATGATCATGATCATGATTATTCACCCAAAATCCCAAATGTCTAGTACTCACAATTTTTTCATCAAATTGTTTATCATTTGGTTCAAAAAATTTAATTGTAAATCTTTGTAATCTAATAGAGGTGTTTACCAAGTAAACGAAATAAAATAAAATAAAATAAAATGGAGTATGTGTGTAGAGTATGTGTGTTTTTTTTTTGTAATCTATTGTTTTTAGACTTTTGTAGAGTATGTGTGTTTTTTTTTTTTTTTATTAGGTGTCGTATCTGAGTTCGAATTTTATATTATATGGTACAATTTTTCCTTCAATTATTTGTCTAAATATTTTTGCCAATGATTTACTTGTAGGGACTCCCAAGATGATTGCATCGTATTAATAGATTGGGTCCGTAACCGATCTCGTAGGTTCAACTGAACAATTTTCCTTTTCCTTTTAAGAGTACTTATATGTTGGTGGTCCTGTAAACTGGACTTACTTATCCATCAGTCTTTTTCCAACTTTTAACAAGTTATTTACCATTATAAAACTATCTTTAGAAAATATATATATTTTTTGAAACAGCCAAAAGAAATACTTTATTGATGAAAATGAAACAAAAGAGCAATTACGAACATCAAAGCACTTTATTGATGAAAATGAAGCAAAAGAGCAATTAAAAACATCAATAAAGAGAGAGAGCACACAAAGTATCACAACAAAACAATTCGATCCCAATTAAGTTGTCACCGAGAATCGCGCACAATCATCTACTAGCTCCACTAAGACACAAACCCAAGAATCAAAATCGAAACAAAGGCCAACTATAACCAAAAAAAAAATACAACAAAAGGAAGAAAACCAGTAGTAAAAACAAAAAATCAGCCAAGGGCCCCTCCACTCCCCAAGCAACATCTGATCTGTCTCAAGTTGATCAGGAAATCCTCCACTGAGAAGTAAAACTCCTTAGAGCTTGATTTCAACCATAAAACAACTCTAATCTTAATCAAGTCACACCGCTCATCAGCCTTAGGAATAGCTGCATGAAACACACATTCATTTCTAAGCTTCCAAATGGACCATAAGACAGCCACAGGGATTACATTCCATATCTTCTTTTCTTTTTTGATGAGCCTTTCTCCATTCCAACATTGTATGTTAGGAATTGACCCTTCCTAACCAAGATCAGTGAGACTCGAAATAACAAACAAAGAAGAAGAATGAATCAAACAAATCACACACACACACATAAGAACACAAGGATTTACGTAGTTCACCCCATAACAGGGCTACGTCCACGGGTGCTGCAGTTTTTCACTATGATTAGAAAAAATACAACTCTCTCTCTTAACCTAAAAGAGGCGCCCCCTCATCTATTTATAAGTATAGAATTAGGGTTACGCAGAAGCACATGGGACTTACGAAAGTACCCAAACCCCCCATTGGACCCACTGTTTGAGTGAACAGTAGGGTTAAGTGAACAGTACTTATCAGGGTCCATCGACCCAACAATCTCCCACTTAGAACCTAAAAACACAAGCTTTCCATCATCTTCATCACATAGAGGAGCGTCGCAACAACTCGATCTTCCTTCTGTAATCTTGAAGGCCAGTTTGTCAATGGTGACTGTCTTGGTCAACATGTCTGCTGGATTCTTACTGCCTTGGATCTTCTCAAGAGACAAGACTCCATTATCTGCAAGTGAACGAATGAAATGGTATCGCAGCTGAATGTGTTTCGTCTTAGAATGAAAAGTCGGATTCTTTACAAGATGACTAGCACTTTGACTGTCACTATGCAAAATACTCATCTCTTGCGTCTTACCCAACTCTGCTAGGAAATTTTGTAACCAAGTTATCTCCTTCCCAGCTTCAGTAATAGCAACATACTCAGCATCTGTTGTAGAAAGGGCCACAATCTTTTGTAACTGTAAAATCTAACTCACTGTTGTACCACCCAATGTGTAAACATAACCAATAGTACTCTTTCTGTTATCCATATCACTAGCCAAGTCCGCATCAACATAACCATGTAACCCGATGCCGGTTCGTCTGAAACAAAGTGCCATGTCTGTAGTACCACTTAAGTATCTAAAGATTCACTTCACTGCCTCCCAATGTTGCTTTCTTGGATTACTCATGTACCTACTAACCACTCCCACTACATGTGCAATATCTGGTCTAGTACAAACCATAGCATACATTATGCTATTGATAGCTGAAGCATATAGAACATGTTCCATGTAAGCCTACTCTTCTTCGGTCTTCAGAGACTGCTCTTTGGTAAGTTTGAAGTGGCTAGCCAATGGAGTGCTCACTGGTTTTGCACCATCTATGCTAAACCTCTTAAGAACATTCTTGACATACTTAATATGTGACAACTTCAAAGTACCATTTGCCTTGTCCTTGTGAGTCCTCATACCAAGGATTTGTTTTTGCAACTCCAAGATCCTTCATCTCAAATTGGTTGGACAAAAGCATATCATCAACATATAAGAGCAAAATAATATGAATTTTGTGAAATTTCTTGAAATAACAACAATGATCTACTTGACATCTTGTAAAACCGCTGCTACACATAAACCCATCAAACTTCTTATACAGTGCCTTATGACCTGTTTCAAACCATACAAGCTTTTTCAAAGTTTGCATACAAACTGCTCTTTGCCACGTGCCAAGAAACCTTGTGGTTGCTTCATGTAAATTTCCTCTTCTAAACCACCATGGAGAAAAGCCATCTTCACATCCATCTGCTCAAGATATAAATCTTCAACAACCACAATTCCCAGCACCAATCTGATAGCGGTCAACTTCACAACTGAAGAGAAAATTTCAGTGTAGTCAACCCCTTCCTTTTGTTGAAATCCCTTTGCAACCAATCTGGCCTTGTAGTATTTACTCCCATCATGTTCATGTTTGACCTTGTAAACCCAGTTGTTGTGCAAAGCTTTCTTACCCACTGGTAATTTAGTCAACTCTTATGTTAGGTTTACCATAAGTGAATCATTTCATCCTGCATAGTTGACTCACACTTGATTGAATCATCAACCTGCAAAGCCTCATCATAACTTTCGAGTTCACCCCCATCAGACAACAACAAATAATGTAAAAATGGAGACCAACGCTGTATAGGTTTAGACTCTCTTTCCGACCGTCTCAACTTAAGAGTATGAGTATGTAGCTCAGTTTGTGGAATAAGATTTTTAGGATTATTCTGAATCCTACTATTCAAATCATTCTCACTAATCTCCTCTAACTCAACATGCTCATGACAAGTAACAGATTCAGATTCAGATACAGACTTAGCCCTATCCTTATATATTACTTTCTCATTAAATATGACATCTTTACTTCTAATTATTTTCTGATTTTTATCATCCCAAAACCGATAACCAAATTGATCAATGCCATACCCAATAAAAGTACATTTAACAGATTTCGGATCAAGTTTATTTCTATCAACAGAATCTATATGCACATATGAAACACAGCCAAATACCTTCAAAAAAGAAAGATTTACCTCTTTATTACTCCAAGCTTCTTCTAGTAGCTCTCCATCCAATAGAACAGATGGACCACGATTAATCAGATATGCTGTAGTGTTAACTGCATCTGCCCAAAACAACTTTGGCAATCCGGCATGTATCCTCATAGTTTTAGCACTTTCATTTAGAGTTCTATTCATGCGTTCTGCAACGCCATTTTGTTGAGGTGTCTTTCGAACAATCTTCTCCATTCTAATTCCACTTTCTGCACAATATTTCTTGAACTCATTGTCCTCATATTCCCCTCCATTATCTGATTTCAAACACTTAATTTTCAAACCTGTTTCAGTCTCCACTAAGGCTTTCTACTTCTTAAAAATAGTATAAACTTCAGATTTATGTTTCAAAAAATAAATCCATACCTTTCTCATTGAGTTGTCGATAAAGGTAACATAGTATAATGATCCTCCAAGAGATTAAACTGGTGCAGATCCCCACACATCTGTATGAACCAATTCTAACTTTTTTGACTTCGGTTTCCTACCATCCTTTGAAAAACTAACCCTCTTTTGTTTGCTGAAAATGCAATCCTCACGAAAGTCAATGTCCCCCAATTTCAAATTTGACAGTTTCCCCTTAGATGCAAGTACCTTCATCCATTTTTGACTCATATGCCCTAGCCTTTGGTGCCACAGATTTGAGCCTTCCTTCTCACTAGCAACTGCTACTGCATCCTTATTGTTCGTATTCATATAAAGGGTGCCTTCTTTTTTACCACGAGCAACAGCCATAGCTCCTTTGGTGATTTTCCACAAACCACCCATGAAGATTACAACATGACCTTCATCATCAAGTTGTCCAACAGAAATCAAGTTTCTTTTCAAAACAGGCACATGTCTGACATTCTGTATCTTCCAAACAAATCTGTTTGGCAACTTGATTTTTACATCCTTTTTACTCACAATCTTCAAAGGTTCATCATCAACCAAATAAACCTTCCCGAAATCATCACCAATGTAATTGTCCATAATTTCCCTCTATGAAGTATAATGGAATAATGGCCCAGAATCTAAAATCCAAGATTCAATAGGGTTGTCAATACTCATGATCAAAGCATCATAAATCTCCTGCGTTGCAGCATTAACAGACTTCTGATTTTGATCATCTTTGTTCTTATTCAATGTCGGACAATCTCCTTTTAGATGTCCCTTCTTTCCACAGTTCCAACAACTCTGTACCTCTCCAATTCTAGACTTACTTTTGTGTTTGGATTTTGATCTGTACGGTTCAAGTTTTTTCATACTAATCTTCCTCTGGCTTCTGTATTCAGGATAGAACCCGATGTTTCCCCTAATTCCCTCCTGCGAATTTCTTCACTCAGAATTAAAACTTGAATGTCATTGTAATTCAATTTTTCTTTCCCCAAAGAATTACTCATTACTGTTATAGTACCATTCCAATTTTCTAGCAAACTAGATAGAAGAATCAAAGCCCTAACCTCATTATCAAATTCGATAGATACAAAACTCAATTATGTTACCACAATATTGAATTCGTTCAGATGCTCAGCCACCGAAGCACCTTATGTCATCCTCAGATTAAACAATCTACGCATCAAATTAACTTTATTTGAGGCAAAGGATTTTCCATACATGTTTGAGAATGTCGCCATGAGACCCGTTGTAGTCTTCTCCTTCGCTATGTTAAACGCAACGTTAC